CCAATTTTTTCTAATAACCTATACTGATTTTTACCAATAATTATGTTTTTTACTCTACCTTTCAAGTATCCTCTGCCACTTTCATTTATTTCAACACCAACTGACAACATTGGTTGTCAAATTGACAACCAACTGACCAAATTCAAAATTTCAACCAGTGCAACTCAACAAAATGCAACCAAAATTTTAACCAAGTCACAGACATGGCGGCATCCATGCTGCCGGAAAGTGGTAAGTAATTAGAGGATAAAATTTATTTTATTTTTTATTTTTGACGAGCTTGGTGAAACAATGAAATCTTGATGAAATGTCAAATCGTTTTGGAATTTTTTTCGGGTGCTAAATTTTTTGTGTTTATATCATATACAACCTTTTTATAATTGGGTTCATGATTTTCTGGTGAGATGTAAATGTTAGATTTTGCGTTAATTTCTGTATATATGTGTTTGGTGCGAGATATATTTTGAGTTAAAGGTGAGGATAAAAAAATATAAGTCTTTAATTTAATTTGTGCTGAACCGATTTTGTATATTCACAACTGTTTGAAATCAGTTATAATTTTTTTTAATTACAATATTTATTACAACTGTTAACATCTAGCAATAACAACAAATAATAACATAAATTTAAATAAATAAGAGTACAAAGGATATAATTTACATTAAAATGATATCCGTAGTATGATGATTTAATATAAAATAAAAGCAAATAAAAATAAAATTAATAAATAAAATTTCTGGATAATAAAATAATACTAGAAAAACAATAAAGTTATGATCGTGCTGGTTATTTTTTGTGCAGATCAGCTGAGTCGTTTCTTTGTATTAAATAATATATTGTCGTCAGTTAGCAATTTTTTATATTTATTTTTATTGTTTAGATAAATATACAAATCCACAACGCAGATGGTTTCAGAAAACATCATCACCGAAACTGAACAAGCTGAATCCTAATAAATTACAGGCGTTTTTTCAAAGAAACAAAGCTGTAAGTATAATATTTACATATATATATATATATATATATATATATATATTATTTTATTATTAACTTCCGGTTATTCTAATCGCCCAAAAATCGAAATTGAAAATTTATTCAAAAGAAATATTTTGGGCGAGGCAAACATCCTTTATCTAGATTCATTATTAACTTCCCGAAATAGAAGTTTGTTTTCATAAAAAAATTCGATTCGCTAATTTTATGTTTTCTCAACGTTTCAAGCCATTCTGAATCGAATGAGACCAAATTTGGAAAAAGTATGTGTGTGTGTGGGAACAGATTTTTTGCCTTAAATCAAGGTTTTCTCAAAAACGGCTGGACCGATTTAAAAAATTTAAAAGCCATTCGATGTATCTCGACGATGACTATTGTCTCTCAGTTTTGTGCGACGATCGGCCAAGCCATTTCTTTATAAATAGCAGAAAAGTGAAAAAATTTCGTCCACGTTTTAGCCCGCAGTTCTGAATCGATTATGAAAATTCAAAAACCCTTTGAAAGATATTGGTTGGGAATCGTGCTGATTGGTTTTTAATAGAGATCGGCCGGGCCGTTTTCTTGTAATAAAGTTTTTTAAAAATAAAATTCGATGATTTTTATGATTTTTTTACGGTAAATACTATAGTCTTGTAGACAGGGCCGCAAAAATGCGTGCGCACGCCTTAGGGGGCGCAAAAACGAGATTTGGATATGAAATTTATGATATAGTTTTTTCAATGTTATTCAAGAAATATATAATTTCTTTGTATCTACTAATCTTTGGACAATATTTTTAAAATACTTTAAAACAACGATCTGATACACTATGAGATAGTAAAGATGACTACATACTGTACCCTTACGATATCTAGGAGAATATCAATTTTGGATATTTTAAATAATGAAAAATTAAATTTAAATAACCCAACATGAATTACCAGTGTTATGTTTATCAATGAAAAGCTAGATTTTTTTTGGATTTTTGGAGTTTGGATAGAAGACACAAAAATTTGATTATAAAGCACCCTCAAATCGCTTCGATATTCTAAATAAATATAAATACCAATACCAACTAGTTCAAAATTGTTATATGATTATAAAGCACCCTCAAATCGCTTCGATATTCTAAATAAATATAAATACCAATACCAACTAGTTCAAAATTGTTATATGATTATAAAGCACCCTTAAATCGCTTCGATATTCTAAATAAATATAAATACCAATACCAACTAGTTCAAAATTGTTATATGATTATAAAGCACCCTTAAATCGCTTCGATATTCTAAATAAATATAAATACCAATACCAACTAGTTCAAAATTGTTATATGATGTATTTGTACTTTGTGCAGTAGCAAATAAGTTTTACTTCAATCGCGTGCACTATTTTTCATATTTTTTTCTTCAGAAAGTCGAAATTAATCAATCAGAAGACAGTATTTTTTCGGAAGGCGAACGAGACATTCCAAATGAGAAACGCAAAGGCAAAGATGAAGTGCAAAACGGCGACAACTGGGTCGGGCGTTCCAGAAACAAAAGATCTTCGGCCAGAAAGAGGTAAAATAAAATTTATTTTAACCACCACACCTCTACACTAGGGAATGCAATACCGATGGCAAATTTCAATACCGGTATTTCGGTAATTTTTCATTTTAAAACCGGAATGCCGGTGAATTACCGGTATTTTTATTATCTTAAACAAACGTGAAGAAAATTGAAAGTTACTAGTACAAATATAAAAAAATGTATATACAACTACAACTATATTCAACTAAACAATAAAATAAAACAATAAGTTTATTTTTTTAAATAATAATTTAACAAAATTATATCCAATTTAATTAATTCATTATTACTATATGTTGAGTACTTTTCACCAAAAACGAACTTATGAGTAAGAAAGACCAAAAACTCATAAAAGATCATATTACATTATTATAATAAACAGTATTGTATGTATCCGATGTGTTAAATTAGCATAATCTGCAATATTTTAAAAAAATAATTTTTCTACACTAATTTAAGATCGTATACTTTGTCGAGATAAATAAGTTACTATAATTGTTGAGTATTGTTATTTAAAACAACGTGATGCTTCTATAGTATTTTCAAACTTCGAAACGTTTTCAAAAAATAATATTTTATAATTGTAATAAGAAGCAAAAATAGTTAGTAATTATCATAATTATTATGCATAAAGTTAGAAAAAAAATAAAGATTACGCAGAGGTAATCTGTATGATATAAAATATTTTGTCGCAAATATCACTTAAAAAACCGTTACATTTATACAAAAGATGAAACAAACGTCATTATCTATCAGTTCAATTCTATTTATTATATTGTAACACGATATGAAGCCCTAAGCAATAAATATTCAGTTTAATGACGAGTTGAGATAATATTTGACATTTGTTTATCCTATAGAATCACTTGAAGATATAGCTGTTTATGCGATTATGGAATTTAAAGATAAACTTGTTCCGAGAAATTTAAACTTTAGGGTATTATGTATCAAATAGCGCTTATGTAAAAATATCGAAAATACCGGTATTGTTGGGGTAAATACCGGTAAAAATTTCGCAAAATCGGGCGGTTTACCGGTAATTCGGTATACCGGTATTGCATTCCTTACTCTACACTGAATCTTTTTTACCAGATCAACCCCATGTGTCTTTTATTATTCCCAGAAATCCAGCCGGCCTGGAGCAGGTGCCGGAGATCGTCCTGGAGGCGACAACCAGGGACGAACAGGTGACGACTTTGAACCAGGAGGACGAAATGTGCGACCAGTACCAGAGATGGCGATGATTCGGGCAAAACTGATACCATCAAACTGTCGTATACCACCAAGAGGTCGTTGAGGAGACACAGAGGTAAAATTAAGATTCATTGGTGATATATCAGAAACAGGACACGTTGAGGATGTTTTGGCAACGATATTTGAAAGTAGAGGGCAAAAGATGTATAACCATATATCGTGGGAAAAAAATGTTGGAAAAAAACCTTTTTGAAAAAAAAAATTTGCGGAAAAAAAATTTAGGGAAAAAAATTTTTGGGGAAAAAATTTTGAGAAAATGTTTTTAAAAAAGGAATTTAGGCTAAAACTTCTTAAACTTAATTTAGATGAAAAATTTTAGCAACGATATTTGAAAGGGCAAAAGATGCATAACCATATATCGTTGTTATCGTGAGGAAAAGTTTTGGGAAAAAAAATTGCGAAAAGTTTTTTGGAAAAAAAATTTTGGCGAAAAAATTTTGAGAAAAAAAATTTTTTGGAAAAAAATTGTTCTAAAAACAAATTTTGGACAAATTTGGAAAAAAAAAAATTTTTTAATTTTTACCTCAAAAAATCAAAGACTACAGGGTATGGTTTTCACTCTATCTACATTTTTCACTCACTTCAATCTTGTTAGAAAAATCAAAGACTATAGTCCACTACAAAAGTATTTACTTTCCTTGTTACTTTTTTTTGGTGTTGAGCACTATTATTTAGTTTACGAGTCTTGAATATATTTTTTAAGTATACGTTATTGAATTGTTGTATAAGGCGTATTGTTAATTTTAAGTTTAATATTTTATAAATACAATAGTATATAATTACACAAATGAGATCTTCTAGAGTACCGTGTTTGAGAAAAATATGATTTGCAAAAAGATAATGTTACAACGACAAAAAATGCATTTTCATATTAACGTTTCAAAAAAGTTGATATTTTGAGTCTAGTAACACTTGCGGGCCGTTTACTAACGTTTTTGTATATAAATAAAACTGCAAACAAAACAAAAACTACTTACTACAATTTAATCATAATTAAATAATATTCACGTACAAACGTCCTATTAAATCAAAAGTGTGTTTAAAATTTTGCATGTGATCTGAAAGCATTGTTTTGTATTGATTTTTATTTTCTGAATTATAATTATGTTGAAGCATTCTCTTATTAGATATATTTTGTGAACTCTCTCCAATATAGAATTTTTCACAATCATTACAATTTGTAAACGGAGTCAACAATTTTATTATGTGGTGTTTTTGATTTTAAAAAAGTATACAAAGAATTTAAGGTACTTTCAAATTTGGAAACTAAAAGAAAACCTTCTTCAGAAAATATCTTTTTTTTTAAAAAAACCTATAGTCCATGGTTTTCACTCTAATCAAGACATCCACGTTTTTCACTAAAAAAATCAAAGACTATAGTCCACTACAAAAGAATTTTCTTTCCTTGTTAGTTTTTTTTGGTCTTGAGCACTGTTATTTAGTTTGCGAGACCTGAATATATTTTTTAAGTATATGTTATTGAATTGTTTTATAAGACGTATTGTTAATTTTAAGTTAGATTCAACAGTTTTTTTTAAAAAAAAAACTTATAATCTATGGTTTTCACTCAAATCAAGACAATCCACATTTTTCACTAAAAAAATCAGACTATGGTCCACTACAAATGAATTTTCTTTCCTAGTTGTTTTTTTTTTGGTCTTGAGCACTTTTATTTAGTTTACGAGACCTGAATATATTTTTTAAGTATATGTTATTGAATTGTTTTATAAGAGGTGTTATTAATTTTAAATTAGATTCAACAGTTTTTTTTAAAAAAAAAGTCTATAAAAGCTTACACCTGGTAAAAAATGGTAACTGAAACTTTACCCTGGAAAAGGTGTAAAAATGAACAGTAGCAAATAAAAAAGAAAATTAAGTTGAATTGTTCTTTTCAGATCGTATTAGAAAGAAGAATCAATCAATCGATGCCACAAATATGCCTGATAGCAGTGATTCCATATCCAATAATCCTAACGAAGAAATTCAATGCACAAATGTAAGTATTAATTCATGAATAATTATTAAATATTCTGTATAGAGAGGATTGTATTTTTAAAAGACTTTTTACCGAAAGCAAAAATAATAAATAAAGTAAATGTGCAAAAAATGTCAGTTTTTGAGAGAACTAAGCGTCCGGTTTGAATGATTCAAAGAACTTTCTGCTTGTTTTAACAAAATAATTGGGAAAAAAATTCATTTCAGTTTTTTTTTTTTGTATATCGATAATGATTCAGATTTCAATTTTAATACATTTAATATTCCTCGAACATTTTGTCACGATATGGAAAGTTCCAGCAATTTGCCTTAAGACACGATGCCATACACCACTAGTTTTTTTTTTTTTTAATTTGTCTTAGAGTGTGATTTAATAAAAACGATTGACACATTTGAGCATAGCTATGATTTTTCAATTTACAAAACAAAAAATCATCATTTTTATCAAATGTCAACATATAAAAAGTTGTGAAAAAGATTTTTACTTCAAGATAATTTTTATTTTTTAACTCAAATTTCGTGATATAAATTTTGATACAAGTGCTTTTTAA